ATGCATGAAAAGAAGATACATCATGATGTCATTACTAATTCAAGGTCCAAAACAGCCGGGAAATGATATCGATGTTTATTTAGCTCCATTAATTGAGGACATGAAAAAATTGTGGAGTCCGGGTGTCGAAGTGTATGATGCATATAGTGGGAAAATTTTCCAACTTCGGGCCATGATTTATTGCACCATAAATGATTTTCCAGCATATGGGAATTTGTCTGGATACAGTACAAAAGGAGCAAATGCATGTCCAATTTGTGAAGATGACACACAGTCGTTATGGTTGTCAAATTGCAAGAAAAATGTATATATGGATCATCGAAGATATCTTCCAAAAAATCACCCATATCGCAAGAAAAAAAAGTGTTCAATGGTAAAACTGAGGAGAGGACAGCAAGGAAACCATTACGAGGAGAGACTGTATTTTCTCGTGTTGAAAATCTAAACGTTACATTCGGAAAATTCAAAGGTAATGGTAAAGGAAAATGTAAACGTAAACGTACAGGTACAACTCCTCCCAAAATTATTTGGAAGAAAAGATCTATATTTTGGGAGTTACCATATTGGAAGCACTTGCAAGTTCGCCATTGTCTTGATGTTATGCATATTGAAAAAAATGTTTGTGAAAGCTTGATAGCCTTATTGTTGAACATCAAGGGAAAGTCAAAAGACGGGATTAATGTTCGAGAAGACATGGTTGAAATGGGAATTCGCCACGAGCTTGCTCCTATTAGGAATCCTAGAAAGCGTATGTATCTGCCAGTTGCTTGTTATACCATGTCAAAGGATGAGAAAACAAAATTTTGTAAGTGCTTACATGGTGTAAAGGTTACATCAGGCTATTCTGCTAACATTAAGAAGTTAGTGTCAATGAAAGAACTAAAACTATTTGGTATGAAGTCCCATGATTGTCATGTTTTAATGACACATATGATTCCCATTGCAATTCGTGGAATACTACCAGACCGCATTCGACACACAATCACAAAGCTATGCTTGTTTTTCAACATGATTCATTCGAAAGTTATTGATCCCGAGGTATTAGATTCATGGGAAAGTGATATTATCTTGACGTTATGCCAGCTTGAGATGTATTTCCCACCTTCGTTTTTTGATGTCATGGTTCATCTGACATCTCATATTGTTAGAGAGATAAAGTATTGTGGGCCAGTATTCTTACGATACATGTATCCATTTGAGAGATATATGGGCGTCTTAAAAGGGTATGTAAGGAATAGGCATCGACCAGAGGGTAGTATTGTTGAGGGATACGCAACAGAGGAGGTAATTGAATATTGTACTGACTATCTACAAGGTGTTGATAGTATTGGCGTTCCAAAATCTCGACACGAGGGTAGACTTGTAGGGAGTGGGACAATTGGATTGAAAAAGATCATTCCAAATCGAGAAGATTTACAACTTGCACATTTTACAGTCCTACAACATATGACAATCATTACTCCATATATAAATGAGCACAAAAGAACACTAGAGATGTCAAATCATGGTAGGAGCAATAGATGGTTGGTTAAGGAGCATAACAAAACGTTCTCACAATGGTTAAAAGACAAAGTGAGAGCAAGTTATGGCATCGATAGTGTGGATCAAGCTGTAGTACATCTGGGGAATGGTCCTGAAGATCTTGTGGCAACGTACCAAGGATACGACATTAATGGTTATACATTTTACACTAATCAACAAGATAGAAAAAGTACACTCCAAAATAGTGGTGTAATATAGTAATAGCCTCGACTGAAGTATATGGAGATAGTCATGATACAAGGGTGAGGATCGCCAAAGAATCATATTATGGTGTCATTCAGGAAATATGGGAATTGAAATATGATTACATCATTATACCTATGTTAAAATGCAAATGGGTTGACAACCAACGAGGTGTTAAAGTTGACAATGATGGTTTTACAATTGTTGACCTTTCCACAAACGGTTATGTATCAGAACCATTCATTCTAGCTAAACAAGCTACCCAGGTATTCTATGTTGAGGACCCAAAGGAATCGGGAAAGCACATCGTCATGCATAGCAAACGACATATACTTGGTGTCGATGATGTTGTGGACGAGGAAGAGTACAATCAATTTGATGAACTACCCCCATTTTCTATCGGCATTCCATCTTCAAATGATGATGTTGATGACACCACTTACTTACGGTCAAATCACAATGAAGGAATATGGGTATCATAACCCATATCTGGGGCAAAATGAAGAGGTTTTGGGTGAGGTCTCAGACATAGATAAGACAAAGATATGATTGACGATGAGACGTGACATTATTTAATATGTTTTAGTATCGTTTGAATTTTAATTATTTTTGTTTGTATTAATGTTTTAGTTTGAACATGTTTCCATGGATGTTTTTAATTTTCATTTGGATGCTGAAGAAAGAAATGGAAGAGTTTGATCCTAGCAAGCCTTCTTGGGTGGATTTCGAACTTAGAGTTTTCTAGGACTATGATCATGAGTTTGTGTGAGTTTAGAAGAGATTCTTGATGAAATAAAGAGACTAGATTATGGATCCAAGCATCAACTTACCTAGGATGATGATTCTTGTGGAAGAACCTCCTTGAAATGTTCCAAGATCTCGAAAATTTATGGAGAAGATGAAGCTTTTATAGAGAGAGTGTGTTTGAAAGAAGTTGATGAAATGTGTGTGTGTGTGTTGTGATCTTCGCCCATGAGTAATAAGAAGAAAGAGAAGAGAGAGATGAGTGCATGGGAACATGAGACCTGTCTAGTTGTTTGTTGGGTAATCCCATAATTAACCCCTAAACAACAATGAGGTGTCATGGCCATTTATTCATTTCTTTTCCTTTTTTTTACTTGGGCCGAGAATGGCCAAATGAGGTGAAGGAAAAATGATTTTTAGGCTCAATCTTGGCTTTGATCGAAAATAAGAGGTCTATGAGAAAGCTTTCAGCCTATTGGGCCCTTAGGGTAGCTCACGGCCCAATTTTGTACAAAAGAATTGATTTATGGCCCATTAGGGCTAACTAGGTTTGTTATGGCCCAATAAGGTCCAATAGAGGTAAACCATTTCATTTTAGGCCCATGATGGCCCAAAAGGTTAAGTCTCATGAGAGTGGGTCCAATTAGAGCCCATTTAAGAGTTCTAAGCCCAAAATAGTCAAATTGGAAGCTTATTGGCCCCTTAGGCCCAATAAGGAAATCCTAGTCCATATTGGACTTAAACCCGGATTTCTAGGGTTTCCAACCTTTTGTTGACTATTTGAGTGTTTGTATAGAGTGTTTGATGGAATTTTGTTGTCATTGAATAAGCATCATACATGCTTTCAAGTTTTAGTTACAATGTTATCCTTGTTTAATGTTTACAAAGCATTAGAATTTCTAGTTGTGACATGTCAAAACCACCAAGTCACACCAACCAAAACAAAAACAACCGGAGATCGATAAGTGCATGTGTCAAAACTGCCAAGTCAGACCAACCAAAACAAAAACAACCGGAGACCGATAAGTGCATGTGTCAAAACCACCAAGTCAGACCAACCAAAACAAAAGCAATCGGAGACCGATAAGCAGCCAACACTTATTAAGGGAACCAGGGGCAAAAATGTCAAGAGCCCAAATAATCATATATATATATATATATATATATATATATATATATATATATATATATATATATATATATATATATATATATTAGCAACTTTAAACTAGATATTCAAAAAAAGGCCATCAATAAATATATAGCATGTGATTTCTAATACATTTATAAAGACATAAATACAAGGCATGCAATAATTTTAAATTATAAAAATGTGGTAAACAAAGTACTTCGGTGAATTATTCAAAAACCTAGCTCATTATTACAGGAATTAATTAACAGCCACCTTCTTTTTTATTTTATTCTATTATCTATTTAATACTAATTTAATAATTTACCACCAACTATATTTCGCTTATATCGTAACATATATACGAGGAATCATAGTTTTATAAATATAAATTCAAAGATTTCTATATACTTTACTGTTTAGAATATTAATCTTATTATTCTAATTAACGTGGGCAATATGGTAAGTGAATGAATCAGTTAAGATATAAAGGACAAGCTTTTTTTTAAGGTAATGAAATTATACATTGTACAAAAAGAAATCAGCCATTTAGTTTTTAGATTTGGCCTGACATAAATTTTGGTAAAGCTTTTAGATATCCTGCCATGGAAATTGCATAACCCGCCACAAATTTTGGGTAAAATCAAAACCCCAAACACGTTTTCACTCCCGTTATTCTCACCGCAGCAACCAACCGGCGATTTGACTAGCTACCACACCGTTTCATCAGGTAATGCCTTAACAAACGATTCCTCCTCATCGTCCTGACTACAATTCCGGTGCCTAAAATCCTTATCTTTTCCTCGATTTTCCCTGTCCCCTACCTCATATCAGGAGGTCGCCAAATCATTGCTAGGGCAGCATTACTCGTATACACGATTCTACATCTCTATTGGTCCTCTTTTTGCCACTGCTAAACATCTTCTACTCTTGCAATTTGTAAGATTTACATGTTGATACTTGCTTTCTGAAAATTTTACTACAGAGGTTTACTTGAGGTTTTGTAAATTCATGGATCTATATATGCATGAATCATGTACTGATGTTGATTTAAACGAGAATACCTGAGAACAGAACATGAAACTCAAAACAGGAAACCTGAAGGTTTTTTTTAGAAATTTGTGGATGTATGTATGTATATATTCATGAAAACACTTCAGTTAGTTGCTATTATTTGCTGATTTTTGACAGTTTTGCAACATAATAACAATGATGGGATCTAAGTTGTTTCATTTTTTAAACTCAAAACCATTCCTCATCATCATAAGTATATAGGCCTTTTGTATCAATCAAACCACCAAGTAAGCATTGTGATATCATGTTGAATTGTTTTTGTAATCTGTTCAGGTAGGTGGTTGAGCCATTAGGTGGTTGAGCCATTTGCAAATCATCTACAATAAAGATGATGAATGATCAACCACAACAACAACTGATACCACAACCGAGGAAAAAAAGAACAGCCACACGTCTAATGGATATAACAGAGCCACAAGAAGTTGAATTTAACAGTCTTGGTCAGCATTGTGGCCATAAGCAAAATAAGTTCGCCAATGACTGCGGGGTTGTTACGAGAAAGTTAATTTCTATCGAATATCCGACTTGGAAGAAAGTGCCAGCAAATGAAAAGGAGAACTTATGGTTGACCATCAAGGTTTGTTATCTAATATACATTACATGTGCTTTCATTTGATTACTATATGTTACTAATAGTTATTTAAAAAAAACAAAAATAGAAACGTTGGAATATCCATGATGAAAAACGCAGAGCATATGTGCTTATGACTTGCAACCACAAGTGGAGATCATACAAGAAGAGGCTTAAAAAGAATTTCTTGACCAATGAGAGAAACCCACTTGAAACCTACTCATATCTGGAGAAGACTGCATTGCAAAAATTTAAGGAAAGGATATCATCAAAGGAATTCCAGGTTTGTAGGATATAATGTCTCTTGATAATATTAATCATTATGTTGCAGTTTCATAATTGTGGTTGTTGATTTCATTGGCAGGATATAAGTGAGAAAGCAAAGATGAGTTCAATGTGTAATACAAATCCACCCCGAGTAGGCCCACATGGTTATCGGGGCAACAAACCTAAGTGGGAACAAGAGAAGGCATCGGGTGAGCTGCCGCCACAGTTGTATCAGATAAAAAGCGAGCGTTCATTAGATTATGTGTTGGGGAGAAGATCTAAAAATGAGTCAGGGTCAAAAATAATACCACCTAACATGGAACCCATAGTAAAAAAGCTTGTAAGTTTGTTCTTAATTTTGTTTTTTAAATTTTATTAATCTTTTTTGTCTAAGTAAATGTATTGACTATTATGTTGTTTGCATTAATAGATAGATGTCCAAAAAGAAATATCCAGCGGTGATTTGTTGCCGGGTCCCGGAGAGGATTTGTTGACTATGGCTATAGGGCCGGAGCACCTGGTCGCACTAGGGCGGTGGGGCATGATATCGGCTTAAGAAAGGGGATGCAAGGAATTGAAAAAAAAAAGAGGAAAGCCGTGGACAAAGAAGTTGTTAGTAAGATGCAGGTCCAGTTAGACGAAGCTGTGACCCAATTGGCAGAGTTAAGAACATTGTTTGCGATGCAAGGGTCTAGGAACCAAGTCCCGAATAATGTGTGCTTCGGTGTTCAAAACAATAGTTCTGGCTCGACGTCGACATCTGATGCTTTAGATACGATAAAGGTAATTCTTTATTATAGCATCAACCTTTAACAACTAATAAAATCCACAACTCAATGAGTCAGTTTATTTATTTTTATCACTAATTCTAGTTGACTACATTTATTATAATTATGTGGTACAAGTTGGGAAAAGAGTAATAAAATTCACTTGTTTATTGTTTCGGGCAAAACAAAGTATGTAAATAGATACATAATTGAGTAAGAGTTGATGACTGATCATAGTCTTCTATAATGTTCAACTGTTTCAAAAAAGCTACAAATATTCCCCTGTATGTGTTATGTATCTGCTGTACAGAGAAAACAATAAAACTAGATAAATAGAACTTGTGTAAAAATTACAGAATGGTCCTTATGTTGCAGCAATTACAGAAATGGTCCCTGTAAGTTTTTTCTATAGAAATGGTCCCTGTAAGTTTTTTTTACAGAAATGATCCCTGTAAGAAACAATTACAAATCCCTGAATTTACAAAAGAAGGCACTATGCAGAAAAAATTACAAAAAAAGGTACCTCTTTTGTATAAAAATGCATAATTTAGCATATTTTTTTGTTTTAATGTGTTAGGTTTATGTTTTTAGAATTTCTTGATATCATATGACTTTGAACTTTGCTGTCAAATTATGTTTTACATCGAATTTTCTAACATATTGACACATGAAATACACTACATGCTATATGATTGCAAACTATTACTTATTGTGATTTGGTGTTATCTTATGGTGATATGAACCAAAAGTGTATAGAAATACAGAACTGGTCACTATGTTATACAAATGTACAATAATGGTCTATGTGTGATAGAAAATATATTAAAATAGTTCCAGACTTTTGTATTTAGCATATTTTTATGTTTTAATGTGTTAGGTTTATGTTTTTTTGAATTTCTTGATATCATTTTACTCAGAACTTTGCTGTCAAATTATGTATTATATCAAATTTTCTAACATGCTGACACATGAAATACACTACATGTTATATGATTGCAGACTATTACTCATTGTGATTTAGTGTTACCTTATGGTGATATGAACCAAAAATGTGCCAGAGGGATGATCTTTCCTTATAATGATGGGTTAATTCACTCACTTCCTCTACGCGAAAATCACTTGAAGGTTATGATAGACAACATTGATGAAAGATATAAAGGTGTTCCTGTTCCTGTGATGACAAATGAAGTTGGTATCCTAGAAGATGCAGTTGGCACTGTAATTCAATGGCCGCGGATCACAATTGTTCTTAGGAACGTACATCTTCATTATCCTTTAATTTATTATCTACCATATATATATTTTCTGAAAATGAGAGAATTCCCTATATGCTCCTATTAAACATCAAAATATTACATTTAGACCGACAAATAAAATATTTTGATGTTTAAGAATGGCATATACGACGTTCTCGCTAATTAAAATGAGTTATTAATAGGAACAACAAAGCAAGGCGCCATCACAACAACAAATTCATACCATAAGTGCGCGACCATCAACCACAAAGGCTGTTATGGAAAAAAACATGCCTAACCAAAAGATCAACAAACCAAGGCCCATAGAATCACTTCGTGACCTTTTGAAGACCAACCTAGTGGTTCATGTAGTAGCCGATGCTGGACATCTCGAAGCTGGGGCGTTTGATTTTTCAGTTACATACGAAGAATATTATCGTTTGTTGAAAAAACAAACAACTGATTTGTCCATCATAACAACTTGGCAGATGTAAGTGCATTCAAATTTTACTATTACTTTTTTTTTCCATGATATTTTCTTTTGAGGCTGCTTATAAGATATTACTTGATTGTAATTTTTTTGTAATATTGTTTGTAGCCTTCTACACTTAATGCTTCGGAAACGTATGGGAAAATGTGCTTTCCTAAACCCATATAAGATTCTTGGGAAAGCATGTCAGGAAACTTCGATTGATGCCGTCAATTATCTCGTTGATGCGATGCAACTTCATCATGGAAAATCGTTTCTTATCGCACCATACCTGCAAAAGTATCATAAGTTGTTATCTATATTAATAGTTATTTGTTTTTTTTTTTGTTTTTTTTATACTAAAATTTCAAACCATTACTAGTATGCATTGGGTCCTCTTGGTGATTTGCCCTTCAAATCATATTGTATACATTTTGGATTCTCTGATGAAGCCTATGAAAAATCTTGTTGACAACTACTATCTGCTCAAACATTTGGAAAAGTAAGAAATTTCTTAATGACATAAAAATAACATTCTTTCTATAAGTTTGAATACAACTCTGCTGCTTGTTTATTTTTAGGGCTTTTGAGAGGTATGAAAAGAACACATCAATTCCAATTGTATGGAAGCTCACTGAGGTAATTTATCTTATTACTTATCCACTAGTTAGATGTAGTTTCGTTTGTGATTTATGTTTACCTTCTATTTTAATTTTAGTGCAACCAAGCCGGTGGATTGGAACGTGAGCTGAGTGGGCATTATATAATGAATTGGATCTTTGATTTTGTGTTGAACAGACAACATGGATTTCCGAGTAGAGTAAGTACTTCTTAAAAAAATCTCTTCTTCTAAAGCAAGAAACAAATTTTTTCGTTATTTAGTAGTTTTAATTTTATTTTCATATAGTTTGGTACCCTTTGGAATGACAAAACTGCATTTGAGGAAAAGGCGTTGGTCACAACTGTTGCTACGTGGGCCAGAGAATTTCTGAAAAATTTTATGAATGATGTTGTCTAAAAGTGCATATAAGGTTAGTTGTTAATCTTTATAACATCCTACTTTTAGTTTAATGATTGTTTGCTAAAGTCAACTCTTTTATAATGCTAGACAAAAAACTAATTATTTGTTGTGTTTTGTTTTTCAGTGAGGATGAAGGATAGCTGTTGTGTTTTGTTTTTAAGTGAGGTTGAAGGATAGCTGCAACACTTGATTATTGGACAATACCTCTCCATGGAAAAAACAATTTCTTTTTTGAATTTATTTATGCAAGTTTTATGTAGTATGAAATGACCAAAATCAATGAGTTTTTAGCAGCACTTAAGCATGTTTTTGTTGATGACTAAAATGATTGGTTACTTAGCATGTTTATATTAATATAATTTGTTCATCAATGAACAATTTTTGTTTTGTTTTGAATGTGTGCTTTGGATGCAAGTATCAGTTTGTGCTTTTTACCATTTGTTTTCATTATATTATGGTTATTTGAATAAAGTTGTCACCAATTTATTTTTTATAACCATGCTTTTTGGTACCGTCATTATAGTTTTGCAAGGCTAAAAAAGAGCCGGTTATTTGAATGGAACCGGTCTATATTTAATCCTTATATGACCCGGTTTTGGAATTGGAACCGGGCTCTTTTTGACATATACGACCCGGTTTTGTATGGTTGAACCGTGTCCTAATCTTCATATATGATCAAACATTAGCCGTTATATTCCTCTTATATGTCCCGGTTTTATGAATAACCGGGTTCTTTTGTGTCAAATAGGAGCCGGTTTTAAAACCGGGTTCTATTTCTTTTTTCACATAGGTCTCGCTGGCTTTAGGACCCGGTTCAAAACCGGGTCTTTTAATTGATTTAACCGAGTCCTATAACCTTTTTTTGTAGTAGTACTACCTCCAGCTATTGCATCTTTAGTTGTAGCAAGGATAAAATGTCAAGTGTACTTTGTATATTGTCCAATTAAAGCGACGTGGAATTCCATTATATTAAGAGTTAACTATTGTAAAAAGGGTAAAAGGGGTAAAGTTGGTATACTCAACTCCAACCCGAACAACAAGGAAAAAAGGAAAAAAGGAAGCCTAGCTCTAAGACATTCTAATAGGATATATGGTTCCAAAGCAATAAAAGGACTAACAAATAAAAGATTCCGAGTATACATGAAAGATATGAAAAGCTACTAGCCAAAAGCATGGCACAGTCAGGTATATAAATCCATAACACCATTAGAATACTACTTCTAGCCTGCATATTTTACTAAGGATAAGATACTAACATTTGCAAAGTGACTAAAGGAAAATGACTAAAACATGGAAAAGATAATTCAAATTGTTTATACAGTGTTTCATGAGAAAGTTCTAACTTATTTAAATGTTGAACATTTTATATGTTTTCTATTTAAAAACAAGTCATGAAATCTATAAAACTAATATAGTAACAAATGTTCAACGTTATTTCAAATGCATACAAAAATTTGGGTAAAATATATTTATAGAATCGTCTTCTTGATCATATGAATGAGAAAAACATAGTCAAATATCTAGAATTTTAGAAGTGGTCAAATTCTAATGATTTGTTTAAACCAACCACACACCACACAATGTGTTTTAAGAAGTCGGTTTTAAACTATAATGTCCTTCACAAGGGCCATGTCACACAAGTGGATGTTATTATAAAATACGACATATCATTATTTTATTACATTTGTTTATTAGAATAGCTTGTTTAGGATAAGTGGATAAGAAAATTAGATTATGTTTCATTATAAACCACCCACACATGTCACACAAGTGGATGCGATTATAAAACACGAAATATCATTATTTTATTACATTGTTTATTAAAATAGCTTATTGTATTATTCTATTATTTTATAAATCGAGTTATGTATTAAAGATACTTAATTTATAAATTAATTAAACTAAAACAAAAAATATACATTAATAATTCAATGACATTATTTTGATCATCAAAGTGTACATATAAATATACAAATTAATAAAAATACAAGTATATAAATTATGAATATGCCCTAATATATTACAATATATGTAAAATAGTACGAGTTGACAATGCCTATATATATATATATATATATATATATATATATATATATATATATATATATATATATATATCTATATATATGTGTGTGTATATATATATACATATAGAGAGAGAGAGAGAGATAAGATCGGGTAAGACTCATTTTAAAGTGAGGACACGTGAACACACCTTAAAAAAATTGAAAAAAAAATCTAAAAAAAATACAAATCATAAAATCGAGCATAGATCTATGTCCGGGAGAAAAAAAATTGGATCATTAAAATTGACCTAGTCGTTGTCGAATTCTGACCTAGTCAATTATTTGTCCATAAGATAAGGGATCATATATTCCTCCATTCTAGATATCATATGGACTGAGACATGGATTATAATCATTCTCTTTGCCATTTGTTGTTTCCCGATTTCCGATTTATGACGACCGACTAATTAAACAAATTCAAACAAGTCCAGGCCCGACCGAGCACTTACGTTTGTCATCACTAAGTCATCGAGGGGCCCACAGATATCGCTTTTATCCCTCCAAGGGTAAACCGAATGGATAAACTTCGACCCAAATGTTCGCTTGTACTTACTCATCAAATTACACACAACGATATGTTTTATAACAATCAAGTTACTGATTGCATTTACATATGTCAATGTGCAACCAACGCGCGACTACAACTCACATGTCTCCGTTTGAAGAATATAAGATATTATCGTCTCATGATCACTCGTGATAAAATCCATGAAGTGATTCAAATAAACATGGATTTAATCCAATACTCGAATCTCATTCCAGGAGCACTCATGAATGTTTAGCAACTTTTGCTATGTCTAAACACTTTAGACATCTACAAGCCCAATTCATGAGAGTCTTGATTCATACTTACTTCCAAAGCATGATTGACTGTGGAGAGTTTGAATAACCTAGTTATTCGGGAAGTCAAAACATGCAAAGTGAAACACAAGAATAATCGAATCCAATATGGTCTCAGAACTTATGAATATAAATAAAATACCTTTTATTTATCACCATATTGATTACACATTATTTATTGTATAATGTTTGGAATAATCAACTTAATACTTGAACTGAAACAATAGTCATGTCATGCTCCAAGCATGCACACTATGTTTATCCAACCAATAGTTATGTCATACTCCAAGTATGCACACTATGTTTGTCTATGATCCTTACTTTGTGAAATAGACCAATTGAACATGATTCCAATGATGCTCATTTCACAATCCCAAATCCTTACCGCAAATGTAAGAATACAAGATTATTTGCCATTTACTGAAATCTGTTAGATTCTAAACTTATATGCATTGATCCTCTTGTAATGACTATGCACAGAAGTCACAAAGACTTGGCAATAGACATTTTACAAGGTATTCCAATGGAGAGCAATTCCATGGAATCGAAGTCTCACATTCAAAGTACATTCCTTTGAACATCCTTCCTGCATTAAGTTTTTCTAATCTTCCACGGATTTAATGAATAAGTTCCACTTATGGAAACATTTCCACATTCCCATTTTGACTATCACTTCTAAACAAGAGGTGCCTTCTTTCAGAATATGTCAATATGGTCCTTCCAAAATTAACACTATACTTCCGGTTGTCCATGAGCAACCAATCTTTGGTAAACCTCAGATTGTCCTCGACAGTTGCTTAATCATTTTAGTCATGCCCAGTTCTAGTACGTTTTTCCCTCTTAATGCCCCAGGCAATTGGAAAAATTTAGAACATATAAATATTACAGCACATGTAATCGATCCTATATCCGAAGCATATGGGACACGATTCATGATGTCTCACATAAAGATATGATACTAGACAAATCTTTTGCTATAATATTTCTATTTCTATTTCCCATGTTCTCATAATTCAGATTATGAAAAGGGATGCCGTAATGATAATCGAATTTTAGAACGCAAATAATGTAATTATGACTAAATTTGATTAAAAACTCACAATCTAAGCTTTTAGAATTGGAATGAAGTATAATTTTCTCTCCCTTAATTATAGCAAACAACTTTTCAAAACCCTGCATCTTTATAGATTTGAAACTTTGTTTTCTATAATTAACATTGCTAACTCGCAATACTTAACATAATAATCATGCTCCCACCAACATGATGATTATTAGCATAACACTTATACTTCCACTAGCTTTGACATGTATCCAGAAATCAGCTGGACTACTAGAAATCAATACTTAATTGACTTTCTTACCAAAGTTCAGATTTCTGATACGAGATGCTTTGATAATAATTTATCAAAATCATACGCCTTTTCTTAGATAGCTCACATGTGTGTCTAAACAATTTTTAGAACTATGAAAAGGGATGTCGTAATCATAGTCTCAATTGTTTAGACCTTTTCCATTTCTCACAAGTCTATGTTAGTGTGCCGGTTAACTACACACGCTCCACTAACGACTTTGAGAATGCAAATATCACAATTGATATCTACTTAAAATCTACTTAGTGAAAACGTTTCCTCACCATCATTTTCATGAATCGAAGAGAAACTTTATGACACTTAGATTTTATGGTGTATGTGTTCCTATCCATGTGAATTTGTCAAAACCATAATTACAAGACAAGGTTAGTGACAAATCCAAACTCATATGGACTGAACTTGTGCAATCTTAACTTCTTGCCACCTGGCAGCACAAGGGCCTACCATTGCTTCCAAGTAGTTATGCAAACAATTGAGAACTCATAGAACTCACATGTATAGTCAACTTTAATTGGAATGGGCACAGAAACAAAAATATGTTAACACGATGGGCTATAAACCTCAAGTCGTGTGCTAGTGATAAACAACAGGTTTTATTCTTGATTAGTTCTTGAAACTTTTCAAGATCTTTAAGACTCCCACTGACCTCTTGATATATAAGATTCTCTTGTCAAGAACCATTCCTTGACAAAGCAAATATTCACGAGTTAGTGCGGATTCT